CACACACACACACACACACACACACACACATATATATATATAAATAAAAGGGGAGTACAACCACACAACCTGATATAGCCCGGCAACACCTAAACGCTTCAGTCTTCCCTACACAGGTCATTGCTCCTCCGCCAACGGCGGCGATGGATCCGAGGCAATCAAGGCCGAGCGCAATATAGAACTGCAAGCTCTAACCGACGACTTGCACAAGTTCACACCAGAACAAGACCAGACAGTCACACTCACTTATGATACAAACAGCGAAGGTGTCAAGAGCGGAGTGGTGGTAGTCACGTTCAACGTACCAGACAAGCTGAATGCCCTCACGGAGGTTATCGGTCATGTCTTCGAGAAACGCATGAGGCAGATCCGAGGTACGCCTCGTCCACTGGTTTGTCGCTGGGTGGTGTATTTTAGGAGTTTTAGGGGTTTTAGGGGTTTTAGGGTTTAGGGTTGTACGGGACGTATTTGGGATCAAACCCGATTGGGGAAGGTGCGTGATAATGTTTAGTGTGTGCAGTGTTTGATTTATTATATGTGGGTAGCTGTGTCTGCGAGTTGTGGGCTTGTGCGTTGAATGAAGCATGCCTGGTCAATACGCTAGATACATATTACGCTACGGAACCAGCACATAAATCTATTGACACTTAACTTATACTCTAGAACACTACCATAGTGTTACTAAGGTCGTGGGCGATCGGATGTACGGACCTGTAGGTGCACTATATAGTCTGCTCGGTACGTGGTGTGTGTGTTGATTGGGTGACTGCGAGGGGTCGTATCAGTTCAATACACTCATACGCATATAACGCGTAGTACTAGATCTAAGCTTGGATTGGTACTACCACTACAGGGGATGAGTCCATCCGAGCCATGATCCTCACGGGCGAAGGCAAAGCGTTTAGTGCGGGCGGGGACCTCGATTGGCTTGTGGACAGAACTAAGGTATGGGGTGAGGGACTTATTCTGGCATCTGCATAAGGAAATACGAATAGGTACGAGTGTGTACAGACCCGAGTGAAA